AAACTACAAGTAAATAATATTATAATTAACAATTCTATTACTTAATTTTATTATATTTATTTCAATCTCGAATCTTATATACAAATTATAATACTATCTCAACTTTTTTCTTTTAATTAAAATGTTCTTTTAAATCATATAACAATCTTAAATCAATTTATACATATTTATAACAATCTGAATAAAGTATAAAAAACTGAAAATAAACTATTCAACTTTAAATAAAGAATTGATTCTTTATATATCTATATTATGAAATTTGAAAGAATTCTTTATAAAGTAAAAGACTAGAATTAATCTGATTTGAATAAAATTTCAACCTTTTGTAATAAATTTAATATTACTTTTAGAAATTGTTTTTCCTAATAGCTTTTATTATTTTACTTATATTCCAACTTTGTTTAAATTATATAATAATTAGTTATATATATAATAAATAAATTCTCTATATTATTTTACTTTAATAAACCTAAAGTTCTATATCTATTATAAAATCTATTTTATTTTTGAAATCATAATTTAATGAATATTAATAATCTTAATATTCTTAATATCTTTAATATTCTTTTAGACAAAGTTGATTATACCTTGATCTCATTCTATATTAAAATATCTAAGTTTTCCTTTATTAAAAGAACTTAATTATGTAAGAAAAACAAGTACGTTTAATATGAAAATGCTTTCTATTAAATATAATTCTGTTTGCTTGATTTATATTAAGGCACTTGAAATTGAAAAGAATTTATCCTAATTGTTACACTTGTTCCTATTAACTTCTACAATAATAACAATAATAATAAGGATCTAGATAAGATAATTAACAATTAATATTTTAAAGATTGCTTAAAAGAGGTACAAGCTTTTATTAATATTTTTTATTTAGTAGTAATATATTTAGTTTCTTAAGGTATTTTATAAAAAATTAATAAAGAAAATAATAATAGTAATAATAATGAAAAAGAGTTTCATTAATTATGTTTTATATTTAAGTTATTTGTTTAAAGTGAGTTTAAGGTGAATTCTTTAGAAGGGGGGGGTAATGTTATAGTATATATATAATTATATTCAATCAAACTAGTACAATACTAAGTTCCGAGCTGATCGCATATATAGCTCTATAGTATACTCTCTTTAGTTCTATAGCTTTTAATTCTAAGGTTGATTTTTAAATGTTTATTAGGTTCGTCACAACTCTTATAGTTCTTCTACAATAAAGTATTATACTTAGTAATATAATATACTCGATATTCAATCACATTAGTAGTTTAATATTTGTGTTATAATTTTTAATAATATTTTTAATCAAAACATAAAAAGAATCGTAAAAAATTAATATATTATAATATATACAAAGACTTTTCATTAATTTTTTTAAATAATAAAAATTCTATATTTATATTTATAAATATATTATCATCGGCTTAAACTAGATTTAAAGCCTCAAAGTTATATACCTTTCAGAGCTCTAAAAAAGTCGTTATAATATTAATTCTATAAATAGATTCTATTATATTATTTATAATAAAAATGTATATTTAAAAATAAAATTTCTTTTATTCAAATATTCAATTAAATCATTATATATTCTTATGAAATATTGAAGAATGAAAATTTATATTATTATTAATATTTTAATGTAAATTTACGTTTATTATATTGATTCTTTAAAATATAATAGATTATAATTTTAATTTTAAGAAGTATACATATAGTAGGAATATCGAATAATTATTGTGAGATTTTATAAAGGACCTGGAACCACTTGTAAATTATAGAGAAATTTGATACGAATATAAACTTTATTTATATTAATAGATAACAAAAACATCTCTTGATAGATAATAATAGCAATGGAGATATTACCGCATTGCTCTGATTTTAACTTTATATGGCCAACACATGGTTCATTTTTATGGGAAAACTCAGACTGTAGATACAACTCCGAAGATCGATGCAGGGAAAAATTCGAGTATTACGATCCTAGATCAAATCATCAAGTTCCCTCGATCAAGAACTGTTTGTCACTTGAGATTTTAATCCCTTACACCTGCGTCAGTGACTTTGTAGTTACACCGAGTCACCGACGTAGATGACATCGAATTAGCACTAAAACATAAAGCGAGAGACATTCTTTGTCAAATGTTTGGTTCGACTTGAGAAATACGAGAATCTCCTGATTCTTTGTTTTCTAAATCCAAGTCGTGGTTCTCTTGTCTCATCCGATGTCCAAACCGCTTATTGAGCTCGCTTCTAACAAACATGAGAATGCGGTCATGATCGACCAACCAGCGACCTTGTCGGTTATTCGGGACCGTCGAAAAAGCAAAAGGTTATTGACCCTTTGAATTGATTCTTCAAAGTTCTATTAGTGCTCGCTGCCACTTTCACTCAATATCACCAGTACCCGTGCGAGCCGTGCAAACCCATGTACCCTTTGTGTGCATAGCTAGATCATGAATTACATGTCATTAAAATGAATTATGATCTTATGATGGATTGATACAACCCGAGATCTATTTTCGGAATACGAATAAATGTTGACGATCGTCATCATTGATCGGCAGTCAAAACTAATGCTTTGGTCCCCCGGAGCGCTGAGCACAAAAAATACTCAGGCTTTCGGCATTTGATAATTTGTACTTGGCATTTGCCAAATTTCGTCAGTATAGCTCCTATCGGATTCTTAACCTTGTTCATGAAGAAGTGGCTATGTGAAAAGATCATAGTAGCGTGGTTTATCATCGAGTGGCCCATATCATCAAATGGCCCACTTTCACCTCAATTTACACTTTCAAACCCATATTATTCAACAATAATTGAATCAATTGATTGAAACTATTAAGAATCTAATAATCTAAAATCTATTACATTATTTTGATAGGTTCTTATATTATATCCTATCTTTTTACATTTACTACAACATCGATTAGAAAATACTTCTCTATTAGAATTCCCTTCTTTTTAATGCTCATCGTGTTGAATCTGAATATCAACCTCTTGCTGAGATAATATATTAAAAGCCTCTTATCTAATGAGCACTCCTCCTTAATATAATTGAGTTTTTTTTATACATCAATATTTGCTTAATACCTCATTTGCTATCCAAAATGTACAATTCTTTATACTTAAAAGTGTATTCTTATAAACTAATCTCTCTATACCCTTAGCTAAAGCTAATACAATTTCGAATATAAATATAAAAAAGCTTGATTGATAACAAATTATTCAAGATTTAATTAATACTGATTAAGAAAAAGCTTCTATTAGGTTACAAGGAGTTTAAGAGATTTATTAATCTAGATCGAAAGAGGAAAAAGTAGATATACGAATTTGAATATCTAATTTCGAGAGTACAGTTTTAAGATTAAATAGAATTAAACTTATTCCTCAGAATTCTGATATTATATTCTGAGAAGTAATTGATTTCTTATATATAGTTTTAAAAGCTATAAAGAATTCAACCTTCGAAATATAATTGATATGTGTTTTGATAAATCTATCAATTTAATTACCATATGAACATTTTAGATTGCTAAAATAGTTAACATCAAATAATTGAATTAAATGATTTGAATGTAATAATAAATATAAACATATAATATCGTTCTCTTTGTAGTATATTTGAAAAGCTATTGATTCGTAGTTTTCATGCTTATCCAGTATTAATATTCAGAATTTGCCCTTTCTTTGATTCTTAATATACTTATCGAAATGTTTCAACTATTTTAAATCTATCTCATTATTCGTTCACCCATTAGATATAGGTTTAATAGTCTATTCTATAGGAAGATTCGTTTCGATATACTAATTGAAGAGATGAACTTGTCCTTAAATTATTAGAAATAGGGGAATAATTTCATCCTCTTCATTTCCATATATTATTATTATAGCCCATTTTCGATTACCTAACTGTACTGTCTTGTTTTTGCCATTTCGTTTAATACTAATTACTATCATTACTATATATATAATCCCCATTATAAAGCCTGTTTCATCAAAATTATAGAAATCTTTATTCAAAATACTATATTTTGCTTATATATTCACAACTAATCGAAACCACTCTTCAAAAAGCTTAGGATTCTTACAAAAAGCTCTTTGAAAATCATAAACATAATTAAAACATATCTTTAATTCGATTCAATACTTTACAAATCAATATATCTAAAGCTTTTTAATACGTTTCGCACCTTTCGATTTAAAAATATTATTCACTATATCTTTCATATTCTTTAATTTAGGTAGAAATCCTTTTAAATCTATATCAAATATATATTAAACAATCATTTCTTCTTTTAATTCTATAATCTTATAATAATTCGCTCGAATTTCTATACAAAAAAGTAAACCTTCCATTCTATATTGAAAAGTTATATAAAGAATATTATAAAATATAATAACTTTTCAAATACTTAATTTTTTATCTTTATGAATAACTTCAATAGTAAGGAGTATATAAGCTTCTTGATTATTCGAATTCATTATAGATTATTAATAAAATGTGTGTTGAAAGAGACAGGTATAAATTGAGGTGAAAGTGAGCTATTCGATGATATAGGCCACTCGATAATAAACCACGTTAATTCATTACTGATCATTTTTGGAGCTATATTTCTGGAAACATACTAACGATCAAACTTTAACAGGGCATGAAAATGCCGTCGGACCGAGATTGAAGGGTAAAGTTTGAACCCCTTCTTCGTCCACTCAGTGCCGGGTAGTTTTATGGGGAAATCAACCCACTTTTAATCAGGGTAGCAACTTAGTTTCTGATTTTAGTCATGGATAGGATATCAACAGCCATGCCAAGTCTTCAATACGAACAATTTATGGAGTCATGTTGAAGTTGTTCAAGCCTCATTGCGGAATCGTGAGGAAAGGAAGAAAGGAGAATTGTTGATGCAATCTTCCGCACCAATCAAACTCAAGGAACTACAAGAAGGTATCCGCACTGTCTCCAGATTTGATGGGATGCGGGCAATTTTAGAGTGTGTTGGCGATTGTGGATGAAGTCATGGCTGAACAATGGATTCTCATGGAATGAAAGGGGAGAATTGCGACGGATCTGAATATATAAATGTCGAAGAAGTTCTCGATAATAAACCATCATCAACGCATCACACCTTCACATCAAACTTCCAAACGTCACTTTACAATTTACAATAACACATACCAACTCAAACAATAATCAACATGTTCTCCAAGACCTTCATCGCTACCCTCCTCGCCAGCTCTGCTGCTGCATCCCCAATTGTCTCAGCACGTGCTGCAGGCGATGCTTTCGGCCTTATCTCCATCAGATCTGGTTCTGATATCCAAAACCAAGCCATCACCGCTTCCGGAGGTCGTCTCTGGATCGGAAAGGAGACTGCCTCATACTGCCCTGATACCGTCGTCACCGACTGCCCTAGTAAGTTTAACTCCGTGATATGATTTACGAATGCCCATGATTAACCAATAAGTAGACGGTACTTCCACAACCTTCGTCGCTGGTGAAAGCAATCTCGGTTTGAACACTGAAGTTCCAGGAGGTCAACAAGTTTACATCGCAACTGATTCTTCTGTATCCTACACCATACCTCACTCCGGCGACATCCACGGTGGAGTTGCCTCTGGATGGAAATACACCGCTGGAGAGAACGGATCCCTTGGATCCTTGTCTTTCCCTGGCTACGGATTCATTGCTTGCCCTGGCGAGGGTGCCGGTGTCTACGGCATCTTCCTTACTCCTGGTGGAGCTGCTACTGGAAACTGCACTGGCATCTCTGTCGCTACTGTCCCATACACCGGTGAAGGACCTTCCGCTTGGGAGTACGCTTAAATCAAGAATGGAGTGGAGGATTGAGGTGGAGAGAGGTGGAGAAGATGGAGAAGATGGAGCACGAAGTTGTGAATATTTTGTTTTCTGATCAGTTCTTTGGCGACATTGCAACCTTATTGTATTTAAATATGTATATATCTGCTGATCATTCCTTACGGCAATGGTATATCAAAACGAATTTTTTTTTTTCAAAAACTTTCATTTGCATCAACATTCGAATTCAAAATTAAATCAAGATTAATGCTAAATTAGAGAAAGTAATTACTCATAAGTATTTGTATTAAGGAGATAGATTTCTTAAAATCAGACTTAGAATAACTATAATGATTTTAACGAACTTTTCGCTTATTTCAGCTTAGAATTTATTTAATAGATATTGAATAAATAATAAATATATTTATTATTCAATTTATCATATTAATTAAAAAGTCCTTTATTATTGATTTTTAATCTGATTTATTCATCTTTCTTAACGTTTAATTAAACAATAAATAAATAGGAAATCTTTTAAATGAAATTTTATATAACGTAATTTATTAGTATACAGATTATATTGATCTATAGATTACTTTCACCTCTATTTAATTTTTCAAACTCATATGATTAAAGAATTATCAAATTAATTAATGAAAATTATAATAATTATAACAATCTAAGATCTATAACATTGTTTTGATAAGTTTTTGTATTATAATTAGTTTTGTTATACTTATTATAGTATTAATTAGAAAATACTTTCTTATTGGAATTCCTTTTTTTTATTTGATATTTATCATTAAATTTGAATATCAATCTTTCATTAAAAGAATACATCAAAAGCTTTTTATCTAATAAATCCTTTTTTATATATATTGATATTTGTTTAATGTTTTATTCACTATTTAAAATGTATAAATCTTTATATTCGAAAGTATGTTTTTATAAGTTAATCTTTTTGTATTTTTAGTTAGAGTTAGTATAGTCTTGAATAGAGGTGTAAAAGAGTTTAATTGATAATAAGTTATTTGAGATTTAATTAATATTGATTGAAAAAAGAGCTTTAATTGAATTATAAAGGATTTGAGAGATTTATTAATTTAGGTTAAAAGTGTCACGAGGTGATACTAGCCTTCCTATCCTGTTCTGTTCTGTCCTACTATATATGTAAGAGCAAGATAGAACTTCTAATTCTATCTCCTAGTCTTTGTACTTTTGTAGTATAGCGGTAAAGCTTCTAAATGGTCTCAGAAGTGGTCCCGTGACAAAAAGAGGAGAGAGTAGGTATATAAAATTGAATATTTAATTTCGAAAGTATAGTTTAAGATTAAATAGAATTAGATTTATTATTTGAAATTTCGATTTTATATTCTGAGAGGTAATTGATTTTTTATATATAGTTTTAAAAGCTATAAAGAATTCAACCTTCGAAATATAATTAATATGTACTTTAATAAATCTATTAATTTGATTACTATATAAATGTTTCAGATTATTAAAACAATCTATATCAAGTGATTCAGTTAGATGATTTTAATGTAATAGTAAATATAAACATATAATACTATTTTCTTTATAATATACTTGAAAAGCTTTTGATTTATAACTTTCATATCTATATAGTATTAAAAAGTATTTTATTAGCTGGGAACTCTTAAAGCTAAGTCAACTACCCCACTTTCCGACCACCCCCTCTTTTCGACCACCTCAAAAACCACACCGCTTTGAGTAATTATAAAATTTATACTTTGAATAACTCAACAACGCTTTAATCAATTGATTTGAAATTTTGATATTATTATAATTGTGATATGAAGAATAGATATACCGAAGAAGATATCGCAGAGGCTCTTAGAGCGATTACAAATGGAGCAAGCATACGAAGAGCTAGCTTGGATTATGGTGTTCCACGTACCACACTTCACGATCGAATATATGGTGGAGTTTCGCATCAAAAAGGCGCCCAAATACTTCAAAAGTTATCTCCAATTCAGGAGAATCGACTAGCAGAATGGATATTAGTACAGGAAGCTCTTGGTACTAGCCCTACACATCGTCAAATCAGAGAGATGGCAGAGCACCTCCTTATTGTACGAGGGGAGGATCCCTCACTTGGAAAGAAATGGATACATAGCTTTTTTCGAAGGCATCCTAATATTGGAACTAAGAAGCAACATCAAATCGATTCTGCACGAGTTTCAGGTGCTACATCTGATATTATTAAGAAGTGGTTCCGGAACCTCGCAATCCCTGAAATCAAGGCTATTAAGCCGGCCAACAGATGGAATATGGATGAAGCAGGTATAATGGAGGGTCAGGGTCTTAATGGACTAGTAGTAGGAAGCACTGATCGAAGATTTATTCAAAAAAAGCAACCTGGATCTCGAATTTGGACCTCTTTTATAGAATGCATTTCAGCCAATGGAAAAAGCATTACTCCCCTTGTAATATATAAGGGAAAATCAGTTCAACAACAATGGTTTCCAACAGATTTGACTCTATTCAAGGGTTGGAACTTTACCGCTACAGAAAATGGATGGACTACAGATGCTACAGCTTTAGAATGGCTGAAAAAGATCTATATCCCTCAAACTACCCCTATTCAGCCGGAAAATTCAAGACTCCTCATTTTGGACGGACACGGAAGCCATGAAACTACAGCATTTATGTTAGAATGCTTTAATAACAACATATATCTCTTATTTCTCCCACCACATACGTCACACGTACTACAACCACTCGATTTATCTGTGTTCTCACCCCTAAAAAGTGCATATCGAATCGAACTTAATAAATTAAGTCTATTATCCGATTCCTCACCAATTGGAAAGCGCAATTTCCTTTCTTGCTATCAGAAGGCTAGAATAGAAGGTTTAACTATTCAAAATATCAAGTCTGGGTGGCAAGCTAGTGGTCTTTGGCCCAAAAATATGGCTAAACCTCTTATGAGTCGACTTTTGCTTGAAAATAGCAATAGAGAGGTTTTATCACTTAATCCTGAATCTGATGATGATCCTATTCTTCAATGGAATATATATTCATCGTTTATTCAATGGAAAACCCCTCAAAAAGGAGCCGATATCAGAAAATATAGAGATATAATGATTCAAGAGAAGGAGATCGATTTGCCAACACGAAGATTACTATTTCGCAAGATTATAAAAGGATTCGATGCTAAGGATTATGAACTCTTAGAGGCAGAGAATAAGATTAGAAAGCTAGAATATCAATTAGATGAAGCATTACCTAGAAAAAGGCGAAAGGTTGTGGTATCTCCAAATTCGAAGTTCGCAGGGATTAGAGCTATAAGGCGTACACAAATTGAAGCTGGAGATCGTGAAGATGAGGTAGATGATAGCTCTAGTGCTATAGAAAGTGATTCTACAGGCGATTTCATTGAAGTTCAATAGTTATTGAGTTATTAAAGTTTTAAGTGTAGATAATATGAATTTTTGGGGTGGTCGGAAACAGGGGGTGGTCGGAAAGTGGGGTAGTTGACTTAGTACACATATATAGATATAGCAATTCCCTCTTCGTACAAAGAGAGTAAACAGAAATAAACAATTCAATTACTCATACATATTGTATATACTCACCTTATCAAGTCTGCCCAATAGAATTAGTTTTTGAAAATTATTTATTATTCTTATAAAATTAAAACTCCTACTATACTATTGACTAATTAGTTTAAAAAGGCATTTGAGATTATAATAATAAATGATTTATTATCTAAATCCTAATTGTAATCTAGTGCTATATAGAATATTATAATTAAGTCTTTCTATAAGATTAAATCTTAATCTATAAAGAAATTAGTATTACTAATTCAAATCGATTTGATAATCAAATTTATATATTCTATAAGGTCTATAAAGATTAAATTATTAAATACTATCTTTTTTAAATTATTAGAAAATAAAAGTAATAATTTTAACAATAAAGAAAGAATAATATATAGCTAGAAATTGATTTTCTATTAAAGTATTCGCTTAACCTTCCTGTATATTCTTTATTCATTCAACTTTTCAGATAATCTTATGTTTTTAGAATTCCCATAATTTTCTAAAATATGACTACAATCCGATACTGCAACCACGAATCTTAATCTTGCGTTGTAACATATCTACTCTTACTCAATCTCAATCCTACTAATCAACTCGTAATCTATACAGAGTCAGAGTTACAGTACTTTTGGATGATCATCTCTCCAGTATTGAACACGTTTGAAAGCCAGGGTTATTTCGAGTTTCTAGCTCTTGAAGCTTAGTGGCGTTAAAGTTGTCAACCCATTTAATCAACATACGAGAACAGTGTTCTGTATGCTCCAAATTTGACTCGCTTAACGAGGATGTCATCACAGAATTTGTGTGAGAACCAGTGGTGAACCTGTTCAAATGCTTAGATTTATCAAATAAGGCAAGAAACATGTTTGACTGACCTATGCAAACGTTGCCAGACTATAGCACAATGTACAACGTGCTCTCGGATGGTTGTATAGTACATTTCAAAGCCAAGGTCTAATGGGTCTATTTTTCCAGACTTGTTCTTATTTTGGAAATAATCCCATGGGCCGTGATCGTAATACTCTTGAAGAGATTCAGAGTCAAGGCATTGCCGAGGAACCCAACTGACAGCCAGAGGATCATAAATACAGTTGTTTTGCTGTGCATCAGCAGTTGTATTGCCGCAGGTGAATGTTCGAGCTTTGAGTTCTGGTTGTTTACTCTGGTGCTGAAATGTGCTGTAGATAACGACAAATGAGATAGAGAAGAGACAAAGCAGGGTAATAGTGTCGAGGGCACGTTTTATGTATGGACGTTTGTTTGCAGAAAATTGTACTTCATTCTCCGAAGACCTTTGCAGAAGGGATATGGCGGACTGGTCAACTGACAACTCATCGGCGTCCTCCGATGCCGATCGAAGGGGCATAACTTCAAAACGGTACAGGCTATTCGAGTAATCAGTTCCTTTACACCCTAAGCATTTCTAAACAAAGCAAAAGTTGGCTCGGCATACCTTGAATCAGAGCTGGACACTTCAAGACGTGCAAATGAACAGCACGGCGCGTTAAAGGCCGAAGGTCATACAGAAGAGTAGCTGAAGAAATGTGAGAGGTGGTCAAAAGTGGAGGGCGAGTGAGTAGAGATGGAGGGGCTAAGTGTGAAATGAGATATCAGAGCCAGTAGCGTGATGGCAGATGGTACATTAGTAGAGCTTATGGCAGTCAGGCAGAAAGTTGCCGTGATGAACTGTAAAGTCTTTCATGAAACCAATTTGATAGCCTCAGTTATTTATATACGAGCTGTGATTAGAAACATCCGGGGCTAAGACCAATATTGTTTGCATAATCTATGTTATCATTGGCCTGGATGTATTATTGTTCATCTCGTATATTCTTGCTTAGATAAGTCAATTTAAGGTTTGAACACCTTTGCAAAATAATAAGTTAATCGATTGTTGATAGATACCAAAAGAACTAATATAAAGCATTAGAAAAATATTGTAGACATTGATGGCATAACGGTAAACACCCTAAATACCAGATGAATTAATCAAGCGCTTGCATACAATCAACAACGTAGTACAACAAGCTGAAACTCATCAAGACCAAGGTACATCAGGTTTCTTATTCTGGCTGTATTCCAAAGTGAATCAAATGCAATACTTCAAGCTGGAGAGTTGCTCTGTTAATTGGGCTGTATCGATCGAGCCCGTTCTTGAAGCTCTAGCTCTGATGAATCCTGTCGATGGGCTGTCGAAGTTATACTTCGTATTATGGTTGAGAAAATTTAGAGGGGTGAGTGATTGAGGGAGTCCCGGGGTGGTGTTGGATCATGGATGGCACGTGGGTGGTTTTAAACTGGCTCGTGCGTTCAGGCAATGTACCCTGTTGAGCTCTAGTTTCTCGGACAGAAAACTCTATGAAATTGCGCACTTCTTCATTCAGCTAACTCTAGAATGTAAGCTAAGCTTTAAGTCTCCCCCGAGTCCCCGTTAGCCGACGACCTCTTGGAAACAAAGTTCTACTATAATCTACTTCAAACTTATTCTAATAATTAACTCTAAGTTAGATTCGCACTTGTAAAACTTAAATCCCTAACCCTAGCTCAGGTGAACACCAATTGACACTTCCGTCCCAGACACCAAGTCAGAAATCCAAGATGTTCACCTCTATCAAGGACGTCGTCATCATGAGCCCCAGTCACGTCTCTTAGTGATTCTACCTATGGGGTGAGCATCCTACCATTGACCGTCGCTGCTACTCAAGGAAACGTCATTTCTTTCCTTATTCTCACAAAGTACCTCGAAACCACTATGGGCTGTTGTGCAGATGGCATTTAGGTTGGTGCTGCCCGCCCTCTCAAACGAATCACCGCCCATCGGTGCACCAACTCTGGAGACACAAGTACCATCACCCCAAGTTCCGCACCTGGATGGTCTATCAATGCTGTTCTCAATCCGGCACCCTGCCTTCCTGGCCACAACTGCGGCTAGTAGGCTACGGTCAGTTTAATGCATGTTCCGGCGGAAATCAATCGTGGTATATACCCTCGTTTCATTCGTAGCGTTACTAAGCTAGAAACCGGCGATATAATATCTTTTTGACTTTTACTCCTGATGGATTGATAAAACACGAAATTTATCTTTCTCTCTCTATTACTTTCGTGCCGCCCTTAATTCCGTTTGATACCAATCCTGCATCGCCCGGATATCATAGCTCATAGCTACTACATCAAAAGTACTCAGATGCTCATTGGCTGAAAACCCATCGTTCGACAGCCGGCCAACCCATTTTCCATGCTTTCTAGCGGCAGCTACAATCTTGTTAATGGCGTCAACAAATACGGGCTCATCACCTTTCGCAGGGACATAGCCGAGGATAGAAAGCGCAAGGTCATTTGGCCCTGTGAATATCATGTCTTGAAGAAAGTTAGAAACACAACAAGAGGAGGCGAAAGAAGGGTAGTGTTAAGCCACTTGCCGACACCAGGCACTGCGCAAATAGCATCAACGTTCTCGACGCCTGTCTTGAACTCGATTTGCAAAGAAGTTATCAGAGTCTCATTGGCGGTTCTTACATAGGTCGGAATTTCGATACTGAGTCAGTGTAGGCAATAGTATTTCCCGTATTTCGTATACGAATTAGTTTAGTGGTGTGTATCGAATTTTTTCGAAATATATACATATGTAATATAGAATTCAATATTACTAAAAGTATTCAATATCATTTAATTATTCAATACTATTAGCAATATACTGAAATACTAGAATCCAATATAAAATATAAATTCCTATCCAAATTAGGCTAGAAAAAAGAGATTCTTATTCATATTAGATAATAAAATTTCATTCCTTATATGGGATTTCCTTATTTCTAATCTAATTTGAATAGGAATGTATTAGATTCTAATATTTCAATATATTGCTAATATTCTTTAGGTATATAAATATGTATGAGAATAATATAACCTCCTTTCTATACGTACTAGCTGCGATATCAATATGCTAATATACGCCACAGTTTCACTGTAGTATACTATTGCCTACACTGTACTGAGTGCAAATCCCGGAAATGCCGAACCTTGTCCTCTCAAACCTTGAGGAGGGAAGCTAGCATTTTGAACAACGGCCTTGGCGTCTTCCGCAGTGTTAATCATCAGCACGACAGTACCATGGGCACCAGCGTCTAAAGCACGTTTGATCAAATCCGCGTGAGTCATTCTGACACGAACAAGTGGAGAGACACCTTGAGAAGAGATGACGACAATGGCCTCATGCATTGAGTAGTCACTGATGCACCCATGCTCACAGTCAATGATTATACCGTCAAGCCCTGTTGAAGCCAATATCTGGGCTGTACGAATAGACGGTAGGCCCAAAAAAGTCAGGATCGGTTTTGATCCATCGCGAAGGAAATTGAGGAGGCGTAGCCGCGGGTTTCACTACTATTAGAATACTCATATTATTTAATCATCCTAGAATTTAACCTCGAAGAAAGTTATTACCTCGTAGTATTTCTATCCTCTACTCGTAGTATCTATTTCATATTCAGTCTACTTAGTATATAAATATATGAGAATTCCGAGATAATAAGTAGAATAAACGGATGTTATTGTTATAAAGCGTAACTGCTAATGAGTGTAATTTGTAATAATATCAAAACCAACCACTAATGACTCGGAGAATCCTCAACGTCTCTTAAAATCCTTCCAAAAATGAATGACATATTTCGATATAAAGATATGACATTCTGGTACAACTTCAAACAGCTCTAGGAGACCACCAGTATAATATGACGAGTGTCCTATCTCCAAAACGCATCAGAAGCTTAACAGCCAACTACCTTCATCGACCATCTACCCTGCAAAGAGATGCATTGATTAAGGCGGTCTGTACCATAGTGACTAGTCACTCCGGCACAGCCTTTAGCTGCATAGGTGGTCACTATCAAACACAAATCAGTCAACAATTATATGATGCTGGTAATAACTTAAAGTGGTCAATCACTTACAAGTGCAACCTCGTGGCATATTTTTCAACACCAATCCATGATCGGTATCATAGAAGGTATAGCAATCACCAGAATTGTAATTTCTGGTTGGTCCTCCCGAGTCACCGCAGGTTGTTGTTGAGTGCTTCACAATATCAATGATCTGAGTGGCAGAAGATGTGCTGAAGAAAGCACAGAGAAAGATGGCGACAGTGTTGATATTTGTGAGGAGCATTTTGAAAGTTTGTTCGGTTTTTCGAAATGAGATTTTGTTTGGTTTTTAAAAGTTATGTAGAAGGCAGCTGAGTTGATTTGTGGATGAGTTGAAGGAGAAGAAACATTGGAATTCATCGAGCATTTATAATTCAAACTTCGGGGTAGCTTCGATGAGCTTACATTCATAGCGCGACATGTTTCCTTATTTGGATTGATCAGAGGAAGGCGCATGATTTTCGAACGTCAGAATATGGATGTGCAAGGCGCTCAATTACATCAAAACCCTCTCGATGATAAGCCAAGTCAACCAGCTACAAGCAAGATCTGCATCAACCTACAGAGTCTTCGGGTGCTACAACCTTGTGAATTGGCCTTTTCAAGATTGATGAAGCGCTTCACCGAGCTCAGTTCTAACACTTGGAAAATCCTTAGACTTCGCCCAGATTAGCAAATCAGGTAGCCAGCCAAAGGCATTGGAGATCGCTAACTGAAACCCCCATTTAGAAGATATGCTGACGATGATGAGGGCAATGTGTCACTGCAGACAAGGAAAATACGATGACGCGGAAGCATTGATTTCTAAAGCGGCTGACCATAACGTACTGTTTAGAACATAATCAATTGGATTAACTAAAAAGATGTCTTGGAAAGTCCTTTGTGTACATAGCAGCACACTCAAGTATAAAGATCTAAGGGAAGTTGTCGAAGGTAGAGAGATCTAGATACTTGTGATGGTCGTCTCCAATCTGATCTTGCCTGCCGAATGTGGCCATAGTCGCTTGCCGCTGCTTAGTTGCTTCACTAACGTCTTGATTGATCGACATCAATTGCATTTCGTGAGTTCTACATGAATGCCCCTTGTTGTAGTATTATGAAACATGAGGAGATTCTACGGAATTGATCGACAGGGCTGAAAATGTTGGTAATATTTTACGTACTCACTAAAATGCCTTGCATTAGTGCTGACAGACAATTTAGACTTTGCTTCGACTCATAGTGTATCATGCTTATTGTTTCACAATACTACCTCTCAGATGGAAGAGATCTTTTCGTGAAAACTGACAGGATGTTTACCTCCATAGCCACTACTAAGCAACCTTTGTTTCATGTACGAGTAACAATTCACGTGAATTTCGTCGGAACTCAGACGAAGTTTAAGGGCGAGGCTCTTGATAACGAGGCAATTGTTGAGCGCGATGCAGGATGCTTTTAGGTAAAGTAGACTTCCATCTTCGTGGAATTTTCAAATGGAGACTCTCCTTGAACACTTTTATTGGGAGGCAATCTACAAGACCTTCAAAAATGAGGTAAAATTACATGCTTTAAACCACGCGACAACATAACACAGTAGAAGGTATCCCGATACTGACATTGCCCTGATACTAATCAGGACCAGTTTGCTTTTATGCGCAATGAAGTAGTGGAGCTCAAACAGTCGAAGCTCTAGGAAGACTCTGGCATAAAGAAACGGAAATTTGCTCAAATAGAAATAATTCTAAGAAATTCCAATTAAAAATGATACGTACTCTATATTCTGTTTCTACGTTCTATCTGATTTCAGTAGTCTAAACTGAAGTGCTTCACTACCTCGGAGGGTGGTTAGGAATCACCGCTCATTTCTAATTACAGTATTTATGATCCTTCCCCCTTGTACCAACACATCAGTGGTTATCCTTAACATCAATGATAGTCGACTTGAATTTTCTTGCAGAAATCTTTCGGTTGAAAAGAATGTCGGTTTCACGGTAAGACCGATTTTTGAGTTCGGGGAGAAAGAAGTAGGCCATGAACCAACAGACAACAGCGGTGCTGCCCCATACAAAACCGCACTTTCCTGCAAGATTCCATCCGGTTGAGTTGAGCATTTGTGATGCAAGATAAATCATTGGAATTTCCGCAACATAGTAGGCAGCACGACCAACACCAGTGCTCAAGGCACGAAGACGGACAGAGGATGTTTCAGCAATAATGCTGTATGAGATTGGACCGAGACTTCCAGCGAAGACAAACGAAATAATTATCCCCAAGCATGCTTGAGCGTAATTGGTCTGGTTATTCTGTGGAATGGAGGCGCAGATACCGAGGACGAAGAGCAAAGTGACGTTAGTGGCTGTACCCCAGAGATAAATTGTTCGACGACCGAATCTGGCGGTAAGAGGCCAGGAAAGTACATTGGCAACCAATTGAAGGCATGAATTAATCAAATTAAGCTTGAAGGAAAAGTCTGTGGAGATTCCAGCTTCTAAACACATCAATAGAATCAGCTAACCATGGTTTCATACCTCAAAGAGAAGATTATCCACTTACGCTCGAAGAAAAAGGTAGCTTGATTGGCAATAAGATTTCCGGCAAAATTCTGGGATGCGTAAATCAAGCAAGTGATAATTGTTCGTCTCAAATCAGTACCTCTGAAGAGATCAAGAAGAGTTGGGTCCCCTCCTATTTTCTTTTCGATCTCAACGGTGCGCTCCATCATGGCAATTTGACCTTCAGCATACCCTTCGGATTTATTACCAAGTCGAGTGATGGATCGAAGAGCTTCTTCCTTGCGACCTCGTCGTATTAGCCACCAAGGTGATTCTGGGGCGAAAAAGATGAGAATTAAGAGTGGAGTCTAGACAAATAAGCTTTCATATCTTCAGAATCTCAAACGAGATACTTACGGGGAAAAGCCATTGCAAAGCAAGAGGTGCCCTCCAGGCCCATGTGCTATTCTTTTTGTTGTAACCATAAGTGGCAGCGGCAACGATGATACTGCCAATAGACCAAGACATTTGTAGAGTAGCAGTGCATGCACCTCGAAGCGAAAGCGGGACGACTTCACTTGCATATGCTGGAGCGTTTGCGATGAAAAATCCCCAAGGAACACCTTCGAAAGCTTGACCGATTGTAAGTACGGCGAGAGAGTCGGCCTAAGTTTTGTTTATTGTTAGCTCATTGAGCGTTGCAAACCCTGAGAAACCAAGCATGCGACTTACGAAGAAAGAGATAAAAATTGTGGCATTCATCATGATCAAGCCAAGAATTGTAGTCCAACGGTAGCCAAGCCGATTGGTAACAGGGCCAGCCAAGAAGACACCAACGAAGGCACCGCATTGACCTGCCTGAAAAAGTGCACTTTGCCATTTTGTTTGAACAGCATATGACCCATCAGCTTGTTGGACACCGTAAGTTCTTTGGAAAAACCCGAGTGCAACGAAATTGCCATTCAGAAACATATCGAACGATTCCATCACCTGGGTTGTATTAGAAGAGAGCCAGAAGAGAAGCTGCGGGGATATTGTCATAGCCAAGGGACTCACAATAGTGAAACAAAAGGTAAATGCCCAAAAGCAAGCCATGGGATGTTGTTTAGCAGCCTCCCACATACCCATCTCATGCTCTCGATTTTCTCCTTCAAAGGCATCGTTCATAACATCCTTATCACCTAGAACTTCGGCATGTTCAAGGTTATGTGCCTTTAAGCTTTCAACATCGCCCTTCTCCCCATGCACGTCAGCTCCAGTCGTCGCCATTTGGAATGTGGTTTTGCAATGTTGTTTTGTCTTTGCAAAGTATTTTTCCAAAGCTCAACAGTATGAATTCAAGCTCGGAAGCTCAGCAGCTTCAATTCAGATGCGGAAAGAACACGAAAGAGCCTTCCTATCACGTATGAACAAAAGCTATTGGCGGAATCAATCGCGCGGTATCAAACAAAGTATGAAGAGGTACCTGGGTACATTGGGAGAATCGGAACATTATATCCTGTTGATCTTTGCATTGCAGGAAAGATGCTTATTGGTGGTAAAATCGATTCTGCATGGGATAATTCTACAGTCCGGGTCCGCCCCGCCCCCAGTCGCTCCTCTTGTTTTCTACATGATGCTTCCCCAGTGATGCAGACCAGAGCCAATGAGAAAGGATTAAATTGATAAGAAATTGTATGCGCACGAATTGAAATTGGCTGGTTTTGGAAAGAAACTACCTATCCTCTTTGAGAACTTATCCCCCGCACCCCGTGCTGTGAAATTAGGTTTCCCCAATTACACTACGCTAACTTCTTGTGTAAAACCTCTCCGCGCTCCACCCCGCGCTCCACCATTGTAAATCAACTTCCCTCAGTCGCACTCATTGTTCCGTTCCATTCTCGCGACTTGCAAACAATATACCATGCGGTGCACTCAATATACTGAACTAAGTGGTTGGAATGTCGAGGGACAGAAAACAGGATTTAAACAGGGGAATCTCACATACGCGTGTATGGACATGCGTGGACAACTCACTTCTCCTTCAAAACAAAAAGGGTTTGCCTCGTGCGGGGAAGTAACCGACGATCAAAATGGTTTGCCGTCGATCGGAAATATGGAGAAAACGTGTATAAACTTGTTCCATCTTACGATCTTTTGATAGATCTCCATTCAATACAACGGGGACGCGAGCGGGAGGATAACTACATGACTCTTTGGGCTCCCTGTTGTGGCCGGAGTATGGAACAAATTTGAGATAAGCGGATTCCGAACCTACAGTAAAATGGGGCTCGCAATTATACAACTGTAAATGCCGTGGATCTCCAAGCGCTTTGGAACTAAGCTTTCTTAAAGTGTATTCCAACGGGAAGGTGTAAAGCTTTTTTCAACGATTGAGATACAAGTTTAGATCAGACAAGACAACACTGAGTTCTTGGTCGTCCAAGGTTTAGATGCCAGTCTGAAATACAAGGACACGTCAACAGTATTGATGCATGATGCGATTCGTATGAGAGAGAGATATGTGGAATGAACAACGGGAAAGGAAGGTACTTACTCGATCAAAGTCCGAGTTTATAACCATAGGTAGCGCCAGTCCAATGAAGTCGAGTTGATTCTACAAGTGCTCGCCTCACTCACCAAGATAACATGTCTGGAATCTGGATACTGCTAAGTGTTGGCTCCGCTCCACCTAAAATCTGGGAAAGCGCTCCGAATGTAACTCGTGTCTTGTGCTTGTGTGGGTACGAATGTAACTCCGAAAAACATTGATTTTGCGAATGAGTGGGGGGCGGGGAATACTAGTGGGCCAGGCAATCCCGCCTGCCTGCCTCGGCTCTACGGATGTGTCCTGGAGTACCTCATAGATAGAAATTGATAAGTGTGAGCAGATTGCCTCGACTTTGGACTTTGGTTTCCGCTCCACTTGGAGAGTCGAGATCTGGGAATTAACAGTTTTGTTCTTTGAGCCAGCGGTGAATGCCTAATACTAATTACTAATTCGGTTGTATTACTCACAATCAATCATTTCTCCTGAAACTTTGGCACATTCTAGTCTTCGCGATGTAGAATAAATAACAATTCTTCCACGGTCTGAAGCTCTACTTCCATATGTACAAATCGTCAATAGGAACTTCCTAGTAGTTGCGTCCCTTTCCAAATAACAGCTTCCACTTTCCATTTCTATTCCTGCGTAAGCTGTTACATCGACAGGCACCCCATTCTTCATGACAGAAAAAATGGAGATTGGCATGAAGAGAAAAAATGGACTATTTTTGTCGAATATCGAGATTACATTCACTAGGAAGAGATGTGAGCCGGTCTTAAAAATGGTGAACTAAATATTTTGATCCCTACCTTTACCATTATGGGATCCAAAAAAAGGAGCTCTGGCCTAAATCTGCTTTGTAATGCATGAAGAGGCTTCGAATTAAATCTTTTTGACTGTCCTAAAGTTTTGAGAGCAGACAGACAATTTCGAGACTTTTGCAGCATTTGTAAATGTAGTACTTCTCTCTCAGTTAATCATGATTCATCCTTCACCACAATATCAGTCAACTTCTCAGGAACTTCTTGGAACTCAAATTGGAAGGCAATTTATAGCGCAATCAATGAAACTTTTCCAACATGCATAGTTCCCACATTCGCAAGAATACATAAAACACAATCAATTTCCTCATTCCACCAAAGAGATCCTGTGAATCCACGTACGCTTCCATTGAGTCCAAGCCAATTCTCTTGTGTACGAGAATCTCTGAGTCTGAAGATTCCATGCCCAATTTCCGTTGATTCTATAGCGGGCTGCCATATCTTGAGAAGGTCCATGGATGAGGACTAAGCAACTTTCCATCCCGGTTAGAAATCCCTAATTTGAGTAGGTCACGGGTTGAGGAGATCAGTCCCACCGGCTACCCATTCTACTGATAGATTTGACTCACTTGCATCAATAAGATCTAGTCCCTTCCACTTATACCCGGAAAAACTCGGATAGACTCTTGCAGTGTTGCTAAATGTATCTGTAGCATAATGATATCGATGTGTTACATTTTCCTTTTGTAATCCAACCTCTTCAAACTCTTCCAGGAATGTAATCTTATCCATTAAATTCAGAGGATCGAGTATTATTTGACGGATCTCGCTTTCTGCTGAGTGACCGGTAATTTTCTCAATGATCAAATCCAAAAGAGTGTAATTTGTATAGGAAGAAGGGAAATGACTAGTTTCAAGCCTGGATGGTCGTCTGACATACTCTAAAGTACCTTTCTTGCCCCAAATTGTTTTCCGGTCCAATTTTTTACCTCTCGCTTCAGCGATCCAGTTCAAATCATCTTCCCAACTTTCGATACCAGCAGTATGACTCAGTAAACCGCCAATTGATGCGTCATTTGCATTACCGATGCCATCTAAATCATCCTGGTCTATATGTTCACTGATCTTGTCCGACACATTGACTTCCTTCGATGAGTTGGAGGATGACAACCGCCACGGATACTTTGGTGATACTCCTGATCCCAAATGCAGTTGAGTCATTGATCGGGATCTTCTTTTGTGAGGCCGCAAAACCAGCAGAATCCCGCCATGTAATGCCTTTAGGCGTAGCGATCGCAGCGGAGACACCTGGAACGCCGGCATTGATGCCACTTTGTAAGATCGACCTCAAACTCTCTGACAATACCCTTTTCGCGCCATGATTTCTCTCCATACTCAACTCAATGGCTCATTTTGTTAAGCTCAAGATGTGTGACGCGAATTATTCGCATTCATTGAAAACGAAGAGCAGATGTCAAGTTAGCAGGCATTACCCCGCATTATGTAAGCAGTAACCTCAAGCAGAATCCTGGTGATCTTAACAGTTGTATATTGACAGGCAGATAACTTACGAGACCATCGAACAATCATGGGGTTAGTATCAAAGTATGAAACGGCATTAATATTCTATTATGCTATCTATGCACCCGCGGATATCTTTTATATCGCGACTGACAGCGCTACGGTAAGAATGATAGCCTATCATTGATAGACCGGTAGATATATACTTACAGTAGGTCTGACCTCGTCAAGGTCCAAGCTGGTGACATAAAATATGGCCAACATGGGATAAATACTGGAGACCTGAGTGAAATTGAACAAACCGGCTTGGTAAAACCTACTCGTTGTCTCGGAAATGCATCTGCTAGTGTTGGACTGATCATATCGAGGGAAAATGGCAGTCCTAAAAAGACCTCAAATCTGTGCAGAAGTCTTCCCATACGCTGCTTCCTTCGTGAGTCTTGTAGACCGAACTTTTATTATTATTTTATTTGCTGACTTGTATGTTTTTCTCTTAGATTCTCTTCTCGATCTTGATCTTTCGCTTTGCTCGTTTGTCTTTCATTTTTGCGCTCATAATCTGGTATAACTTCGAAGGGAAGAACCACGGCAAGACGCCATACATACTTTGCGTCTCTGCCAATTGTCTAATCCTCAATCTAGGCATTACTGATTGGTTTCCAAGGACGGCCTTGAGCGAAGGGCATTTGGTAGAAAGTATTTACATAAACTTAGCACAGAGTTTGCTAAGATAGGGGATGATGGAGTGTGACCTGCCCGAGGTAGTGGAGTTCCCAATTTCCCACTTTCTTTATTCATCAAGTCCACCATCCGACCAAAATTCTCTGGTAACCTTGGGCTACTGAGTCTTGCTCGCTTGATGTAATTGCGTGCGTTCTCAATTGTCTGGTAAACCGATCATGAAATCGCTTGCGCATTTAGATACACATTAGTCAGAAGCCTCCAACAAGCTTCGGGCCATTCGATATTCACTTCTCTGTAACATCAGTAAAATTCGAAAAACATTCGATAGATATACTTGATTTATCTTATTCAATTTAAGGAAAACACATTATGATACCTTTAAACCGGACTCTTCGAAGCGTTTTTAAATCGCCACTCCGTCAATCTAGGATGAAATCTCTCCCAATATGAAGATTATCCCACGGTGATTCCCATGAACGTATGATTTCTCGCCGATAATGGTGACTTGGAAATTTCTTGGATTATATCGATCTAAATGCGAGTTGTCGTACCTCGAGATCCTTGAAGCTTGTAATATCGCCAGCGATCACGGGGATGGATGATAATGATGACAACTTAAAGACTCGGGAATTTGGAAAGAATACTTCATCCTTGTCAAGATAGTAAATACCAGAAATCATCGTTTTCATTTAGTGCATGGTAATCTGGTGCAATTGCGTACTAACAATCATTCAAAGTTCACACAGTCCCACGATATGGTGTATTTCGATTCTCTTAGGCGGAGAAACGGGATTTTCGTCATAGAAAATTTTAGTCGCACCTTCATCTCTCCGCCCAATTACTTTCTATACCAGGGGAACAGTGTTCAACATTCTTACTAGCTCTAATCAAAAATCGCATATCAAGCAACTTAAGTGAAGCACTGTTCTCCCTTTTACTTCATTTTTGGGAATCTTATACCGTAATAATCGAGTCAAGAATAAATGACCGGATATTCCAAATTTCGACGTACCTCAACCTAAAATGCAATGCTCCTATCACCACATGAAAACTAGAGGTTCTTTGAAAACGAGATACACGTAACCTTTACCAAAAGATTCTAGCTATGTCTCCTTAATTAAACGGATTTCAATTCACACACGACATAAATCCAACTACAGCGGAGATGATGGTTAGAAACACTGCAGGATCAACCCAAGCGGCGATTATGACATTAGAAACACGCTCGAAGGAGTCAATCGCGCAGAGACATTGCCTTCACTACAGGAAGTGGCCTACACCTCACAATTTAACAATTCAATTCCTCGGGCGAGATAAAATGGCAACATAATATTCGATGAACTGATAGAATGCTCAGTGACGTACTTGATGGAGACCATGCTGCTAGACTTCCTCCTCGGTGTGGCCTTCCAGCATCTTTTTGATTGCTCAAAAGATAGTTTGACCTCCTAACAATCAATCAGCATACCTTCCACAGATTTCACATCATGACCATCAAACTTACCATCAACAATCAAATCAGCTCCAGTAATATAACTTCCCGCTCCACTACATAATAGTACTAAAGCTCCACTCAATTCTTCTGGATTTCCCATTCTACCGATTGGATTTCTAGAAGTCCAAATATTCCTTGCCTCTTCCAATCCATCACCTTCATTAAGAATAGTATCCATGTAACCAGGAGAAATAGAATTTGTACGAATACCATATCGAGACCACTCAGCTGCAAGACATGATTTCATATGAAGTAGAGAAGATTTGGAGACATTGTAAGCAATTTGAGGCTGAGGATAGTTAACGGTATGACCAGATATCGCTAGAAATCGTGGTTAGTGTACACTCAATTGTCAGTTGACCATTTAAAAATTGGGGAGACAGACATGCAATGAACACAATCGAACCACCGGATTTTTGATCAACCATTTTCCTAAATTCAAAATTAGTATCACCACCTTTTGGCCAACACAGGAACATACTTAGCAACAGCTTGTGCACATAGAAAAGCCCCAGTTGTATTGATCTCCAAAGTGCGTCTCCACTCCTCGACACTTATCTCGAGCGCATGCACACATCCCACAACGCCCGCGTAGCAACACAGTACATCAATACTTCCCAAAGCCGATATTGTCTCATGAATAGCTTGATCCAGATTTTCCACGTTTGTGACATCGACTTGTTTCAATAGGATCTTGGCACTAGGAAAGTCTGCCTTCAAGGCGCATATGCCAGGATGATCGTCTTTTGGATTGATGTCATATAGGGCTAATCCACTAAGGCCGTGTTCGAGAAGCGCACGAGCTCCTTGTAAAGCTAAAGTGCCTGCTCCTCCTGTGACTAAATTGGACCGTTATATAAGTCTTGTTCATGATAGTTGGGAGAAGCGTAATACATATCGCATTTCCTTTGACTGCAAATCTGTTGATAGCTGGATTCAAGCTTGATGAATGCTTTTCAGCATCAAATGAGGGAGGAGCTGAGTTGCTCAAGCCATTTGCTAGCTGCATCTGAGGTAATGTCCGATTCACTAAGTCATTTCTATTATATTTGTCGTCCCCCATGATAGTAATATTGAAGAAGATAGAAAAAGAGTTGAGCCGTGAATACACTTAAATATTTATAAGACCTCTGTTGTAAAATAATGTGATTAGATACACGGATGGCCTTTAAACGGTTGAGGATTCGTGGAGAAGTGGAGTATGCAGGCTATATAGTAAGCTGCAAGTACGGTAAAGGGCATAAACTACTCAAGTTATCCGAATACAAAAAGGCTCGTCGGTGATAGATCATGGATGTAGAATTTGCTGAGAGTGGGATGCGCATTTCCTTGATTTAGGATGAGACTGTATCAGATATTTAATTGCCTTAGGCAGATATCATTGCAGCGTGCTACTTGATCCTTTCCAAGAAAGTGTATAAAAAAAATGAATGAATGTATGAGGAATCTCGGTGGCCAAGATAGAATGCCGAAGAATATCCACAAGCAACAATTCAGAAAGCCCAAAAAACATTCTTAGTGACAAAAGTATTATTGATACCACAAAAACGACCTTGTCAATAAATCTACTCAGTTCTACAAAGATGAAGTATAGATGATGACCAGGGCTCACCATGTGACTAAAAGGTGCAGCAGTATCCTTTTGGCATCCAGCAGGATTTCAGAACTTTTTTCAAATTGAGTGATCGCGTCTGCACGGAACGCTACCTACTACCACCAGCCAGAAAAGTTACTTCGGCCACATAGACGTGGTATAAACCTATTAAACAAGCAAGCAAACAGATGCTCCGTTTCGAAGTAGCTACCACATTTACTGGCTGTGGATCATGACCCTTTCTGATCCTGAATGATTAATTCATACTTGGATAAATGGTGCGGCCACATAGAGTCTGGTACTTCGGGAAAGCAGGAGGGAAAATGGTAAGTTCAACGAGGTAATATGGCCTAGAGCAGAAACGACGATGGGTGGTGGTATGAGGACAAGCAAATGATTGAGACCTATAGCCCTGCTTGGAGCACAAGATGACAAGTTATAATGCTTGATAATCTGACAGTTTATCTGGCCCCTTTTTCAAAAAACAGTGTAATACGCTTATCTCAATCTGGCCCTGCCTCTTTCTTGATATTCTGCATATCCACGTAGGCGACATTCACAACGAGGCCAACACCACAGTGCGTGGTACCTCTTGAAATGAAAGGAACTCCTCCCTATAGTGGCTTTTTTGACACGGTGCATTTTGTATACATTATCGTTGATGGTTGAACGCAAATATGAGATTCCAACGTGGATCTCCACCAAAATTCAGTATTTGTGAGGGCTCTAGATGAATACGCGTATCGATGGAGAAATGGAACACGATTGCAGAACAGGATCGGTAGGAAATCATGAATACAAGCACTTGCCATGTGAGAAACCCGAATGCTTTCATTGAGGTTAAATGGTATGGTGGTTGGTAGAGAGTAGAGGGATGACAACATATAATGCAGTAGATACAATGTAGAGACCCTTGGGCGAATGGCAAGCCGGTGATCTCTATATCCGCAACATTTGTTACAATCCCCTCTTGTTAACTTCTTCTTTGGTGATGATTGATACTTGCAATCATTATAGAACGGGGGTTTCATGTTGTCATTTGACTTTTTGACTATGTACAGCAAGCATAACAAAACGAATGATTCAGTAGCACGTGTACATCGTACAGTTCATTGAAGAGTCTTCATTATAATCCCACAGAGAACAAAATTAAAAGAATTTTCCCTTGCGGACCGTGCCATTTTCCATTTCTATCTAACGTTACGGTGCGAGCGAGCAAGCGACTGTAGCTTTGCGGCTAACAACTTGGGACGATAACAACGACAACGGAAACACCGCTAAGATGAAGTCTCGTTTATTATCAATACTGAGTACAAGCACATACCGTTGCTTGACCAAGTATTGACTCGATCAAATCCTGTGACAGTTTCCTCCATATCTCCCAAATGTATCTGCAGTACAAGCATTACAAATATATATTCTCCATATCTAGTCCTTCATACTCATTCCCCCCTCCCACTCCCCAGGTACGGAGTCAAGGAACCAGTATTTATTAGTACAGTACCTACGAAAAGATCTTCTTCAAGCGTCCATACCCAGCAAGATTTTATTTGATCTTGCCATCTTCGCCATCTTCGCCATCTTCAGCAGACTTAATAATTGCGACGATCAAGCATCCGAGAATTAAACCCCAATTAGCATACTCATTCGTGCTTGCGTATTCGCACAAAAGAGTTTCCAGTCCCATTTTCGGTATTGCATATGCAGAAAGCCTGTCAGCAAATTATCAAATTGTAACCAATCAATCATATCATCCGCAGCAGAATTACCCTGTCCCATACCACCAGATGTTCACCGTTGAATTGTCTCGCCCATCGTTCTAATCCACCCACCGCACTGTGAAGATAATTCCATAGGCTCAAATGCCCAATTAATTTTGAGGCTATTGGGGTTAGAAAGTTCGAATGGCGGGTTCGAATGATATTCATAAAGTAAGGCGCAGGCCAAAATTTCGAGATGGCGAATTAGAAGATGGCAAACTTCCTAAATCACGATCAGGTCGTCATGAAGGAGACGGCGGAGTCACATCAGATGAGCCTGATGTTTCTGAAGTCCGCAGAATCCGTCTAGAAAGACTCGAGGGGAATTCAACAAATCGATCGACCCGCAACAGTGCAGTAGCAACTGAAAAGATGCCCGCGGATTCAAGTACGACAGTTGATGCGACAAAATCTTCATCGAGTCATAGAAGAAGAAGACGACATCATACTTCAGAAGACGGTGCTGGACATCATTCGCGATCAAAAATAAGTGAGAGGGAGGAGAAATCGGGGGGTGATTATGTTTATGATGCCCCAAGGGAGAGGCATAGGGAGAAGGAAGGTGGAAGTAAAAATAAGCCTCGGGAGGCGACCAAAACGGAAAGGAGGCGTCGAGACGAAGAGGATGAGTCCAGTAGTGATTCCGAAGACGATGATAATTCCCCAGTAGAACCTGTGGATTCAAAGTTGAAGAAGAGAACCAAGGCTGTGGTTCCGGAGCAACCAAAAAGATCAAGTTCAACTAGGAGGGTGAAGAAAGAGGTTAAAGACAAGTCGCCTACAAAGGGCTCCGCAGATGTAGGAATTTCAGGGCCGAAAAGTGCATCGCGCAGGACTAAGGTTACTGCCGGTGATTCCGTATCACGCCCTCCACTTTCGAGGTATGTCTCTTCGCTGTTGGCATCTTACGTTGAGGTTTAATTCTAAATCTAATTGCATTTGTATGTAGGAGTGCAACGACCCGGATTCCCACGGAGCCTGCGCCGATACTGAGGAGGAGTAATACAACAGTGCCAAAACCACCAGCATCTATCGCAAATACAACCACTTCCCAAACATCACAACGCCGTGGTAGTTTTCTCGGAAGTTTCTTCTCATCCGGGCCACCACCACCACCTCCTCCACCCCCCGAACCGGAACAGCTGTAAGTTATTCGATAAAACCAATGCTCAAAAGTAGTATCCTAATCATCACAGTGTCGAATGTCTAACCTGTCTATCCGATGATATTCCCAAATCTAAATGTGCCAAACTACGATGTGGCCATCGAATGTGTCATTCTTGCCTCAAACGGATATTTCGACTGTCCGTTAAGGATCCAGCACATATGCCACCAAAATGTTGTACAGCAGAACACATTCCATTGAAACATGTCGAAAAGCTATTTGATGTACCTTTCAAGAAACTTTGGAATAAGAAGTATCAGGAATATACTACGAAAAATCGAATTTACTGTCCCGCGAAGAAATGTGGTGAATGGATCAAGCCCGAAAATATTCACAAGGAGAACGGGAAAAAATATGGAACCTGCGGGAGGTGTAAGACAAAAGTCTGCGCATTGTGCAATGGTAAATGGCATGGATCGAAAGAATGCCCCAAAGACGAGGAAACAAACAAATTGCTTGAAACTGCAAAACAAGCTGGATGGCAACGTTGTTACAGTTGTAGGACTATGGTAGAGTTGAAGGAGGGGTGTAACCATATGACTTGGTAAGTGGAGAATTCGTGTTAAGCTAGATTGGTCAAGAATCTAACATATATTGTCTTCACAGTCACTGTACAGCACAATTTTGTATGATCTGTGGGTTGGAATGGAAGACATGCAATTGCCCATGGTTCAATTATGAAACAGCTGAGAATGATAGGTTGGATGACATGCAAGTTCCTCAACCCGTTCCGGTCCAGGAAGCTCCTGTTAGAAATCCAGCAGCACCTCCAAGAAATGCTCGGGACAGAGCGAGAAGACAGCCACCTGCTAATTACAATGAAGAGCTCGATCAAAGACGTCGTCAGGAACGCGAGGATGAAAGACTAGCTCGGCAGCTTCAAAACTGGGGTACGGATGGAATGCCGACGAATGATCGCGATGCAAACTATAATGGTGGAATAGGCGAGGTTCAGGGGGTCGGCAATGGCGCAAACCATTTCATGAATCAAGATTACATACGCGAGGCTAGCGATGTCCTAGCCCAACCTGGTGGGGTTATGAACTTTGGACTTGGAGTTACAAATTTTCTTCCGGGATTCTTAAGACCACGAGGAGCGGCTGCAGCAAATCCTAATCCAACTGTTGGTGATATGACTGATCGTTACCCAACAGTTGCTCCAGCTCCTGTACCTGAGCCACCTGCGGCACCGGGTCTTGTTAGAAGACATACCACTCGGGACACTGCAAGAGGTACTGGTCATACACGAAGAGCGTCAGATATTTTGGTGCCGAGAAGAACAAGAACTGATTATGCGGTTGAAGCAGCGATTCATGCGCCAGCTTCGAGAGCTTCTGCTACTCCTTCCAGAGTCTCTAGCTCTGCATCAAACCCAAAAAAAGAAAAGGAGAAGAAGACCAAGTCGTCAATACTTGCTGGGCTTGGTAGTGGGAGGAATAGAGTGGATGCTTGGAGAAATCACGTTGCTCCTGGTGCTCCACCTGCGGAACCGGTATCTTAATTAGATTTCGTCACCTGGAGGAAGAGTGAATTTGGTCAAAGGATAAGTAAATTAGGACGAACGAGAGTGTTACGTTCGACTACAACCCATGTTTGACGAAACTCGCGATGGATAACACAGTGACTACAGACCTATGAGAGGCTTCGATGACTGGACGAACGGATGATTGATTGGATAAAATGGGTACGGACACGGGTGAAAAGGATCGGTGGCTAGGAGATATGGCAATGGCTATCTCGTTTGTATGGAGCAATGACTCGGATCAATACCCGGCTAGCGGATATGGAGTTCAATAATGACTATATAACGATCAACGATCTATACCAT